AAGCAACACATGAAAGATATCAAATGCATATCTATCATCTAATGCGTCGTTACACATACACCTAGGAGATCTCCCTAATAGAAGAGCAGTGTAAGTGACATTCCAATCCTAACAAAATCATCCCAACCGTTTTCACACCCAATGTGCCCGCTCGGTCACAGTTAAACAGGATAAAAATCCTCACTCGGGTTTACTCGGATGATGTCACTTACACAATTGGAAGTTTGGATCCACTGTCAGGTATAACACAATTGGGTACATGCTTACCACGACCTTGACATGCATTACCAAGTCACTTGTAGAGTTCGCCCACCGACTATCCGCAAGGATCCACGCACCTTCCCCAATATATCATTACCAAGCATACATATGAATCACACCTCACCATACATCATATATCATACATGCATGATCTAAAACTTCAACTTCAAACATGCATGAGCATCAATTTCAATCCAAAAACATCAAACCCACTTACGCCCGGCGCAACTAAATTACGCCTGACCTAACATCCAACCCGAGAGCCCTAAGCTCTTCCATGCCTGGCGCGCTCAACCTGCGCTTGGCCTAATCCTAGGCAGAGAGTTCAAAATCTCATCCAAACTAGCAAATCCAGCCACATACAAACACAAAAACATAATGCACAGACTCCATACAACTCAAAAACAAGTTCAAAATCAACATGCACTCATCCAATGCATCAAAATCATCAAAACTCCAATTTTCTCAAAAAACCCCAAAATGAACAATTTCTCCAATCCAACCATGGATTCTCAATATTCATGCATCGATTGAGTTTCTAAACTCACATGCAACCTAAACAACAAACATTCTAGCTTCCGTCACCTGAAAATTGGCTTATAATAGCCAAGAATGGAGAAAAAGTAGAATTTTCTTCCGAAGTTCAACCCGGAACTTCAATCCTCCAAAAACAAGCTTCCTAGCCTGAATTTTAAGAGAAGACAGAAGAGATTAGCGATCTAGAGGAGAAGAAGAATCATATAGAGAAATTCGGGAGAGAAAGGAGCTCACAGAACCAGAGTCTTTCTCTCTAAAACTTTTCTCTAAATCTAAGTTCCTTTTTTCTCTTCTCCTTAATTGCATGCATGTGGCCTATTTATAGAAGTCAGGAGTGGCCAGAACGGCCCGTTTCGAATCCAGAACAGCCCGTTATGGACTCAAACGTCATGTGTAAAATTCACATCCAGAACGACCCGCTCTCAAACTAGAACGACCCGTTTTGGGGTTGCATTTAACTCACAACGACTCTGTTTAGAACGACCAATTCTCAACTAGGATTTATAAGCCTATTTAGTAGTTTGGAACGACTCGTTCCAGTTTGGGAACAACCCGTTCTGGACTACTAAATCACCATTGTTTTAGTAGTTTGGAACGACCCGTTCCAGTTTGGGAACGACCCGTTCTAGGCTACTAACTACGTTACAATATACATAATAACTTTTTCAACTTTAACAATTATCAACATCCATCTTATAACATATACATCATCACACTTAACATCAACGTACAATCATCTATATTGTTAGCATATCATTTCATCACACATCTCCATCAACATTATACAATTCTTATATCCTCATTTAAGAACAAGACAATTCAAAACATCATATAACATGTATCAACATATAACTTACATATCGACATCATCAATTCATTTATTAATTTTTAACATAGGCATTCATATAAGATTTACCATGAGCCAAAGATTTACAACTTCAAAACCTCTATTTTGTTGTTAATTTCATTAAGAGGAATAGGGGGAGCAACAGAGAATTTGTTGCTCAGCATTGGGAGTAATGCTCAACCTTTAATTCTTTGTCAGTCCAATGCTTAGTATCAGGAGCAATACTTAGTACTAAGAGCAATGTTTAACACCTAAATCTCTATCAACCCAATGCTTAATATCGAGAGTAATGTTTAGCATCGGAACCAATGTTCAACATTGAGAAAAATGCTCAACATCAAGACCAAAACAACCACTCAGTCATTCAACTTCAAAACTTTAAATTCACACATAAAATTTAGAAATCAATCACATGCAATATCAATGTTCATAAATTTGCAACATTCTCAATCCATTTCCAACCAAAAACCACACATGCAACCATATTCAAGACCAAATCATCCATACATCTCACAACCTCAAGAACACCCAAACTCAACCCCTTCATCATACAATCTGAAAACTCCAACAACACAATCACATTTCATTAAAAACAACAACATGCAACCCAGTCAATTCGTCAATAATCAATCATAGTTTTTCTTACCTCGTTGACAATCTAGAACAAAAAGAGAAAAGAAGAATATAGCAAGTTTTGTACGACTTTGAGGACAGATCTTAACTCCACTAGCCTTGAACCCTTAGCTAGTACACTGTTCAGTCACAAGGAAGAAGAGGAAGGAGGATTTTAGGAGGAGAGGAGCAAAGCTTTGATTGCTCTCTCAAACTTCATAAAATAGAGGAAAAGGAAAGATCATTTTCCTCCCATTTTTCAAGAAAGTTTCATAAGACCCATTCTTTAAGGTTGAATCAATTTATTGATCTCAATTATTTATTGTATCTCACAACTCAAATCAGACATTCTAAATATTAGTGTTACAATATTTATATAAAAATAATTTATGCAAATTTAAAAATAATTATATATATTTAATTTTTCAAATTTCATATAATATATTTATTAAAGTATCTTTAATTATATTTATTATAAAGTATTTTCATTTATTATATTAAAAATATTTATAAATAAAAAAATATTATATTAAATAAATTTGAATTGATTAAAATTTAAGTATTTCTTATATATAGTTTCAGAGTTTTTTTTTTTTTTTTTTTAAAATTCTGATTACATCATTTATTAAGTTTTCTATACAATTATGATTTAGTATGATAGATACAGTTGAGTCCGCGAATAATAATAATAAAGCAAAATTTTATCTCTACGAAATTCAAGACTTTTTATAGATTTTTCCGCAGCTGTGTGTCTGCTTTTAGTGTTCAGAATCACAATTCAGACCTTTCCACACCTCACTTTATGTTTTCCTCTTTCTCTCTCTTCCCTTCACTCACTTCATGCTATTTCTCAACTACCACACTTCCAACACCATCATTACCTCCCATTCAAGGTAATAACACAAATTAAAGTCCTTAATAAAGATTTCATATTTGCTTAATAAATACTACTACAGTACTCATTTATTTTGATTAACTATAGTTATTCAAAAAAAAAAAAACTGTTATCTTATTTTTATTTTTATTTTAAAAAAAAAACTGTTTTTATTTGATTTTATCTTCTAACTCCAATAAATTTTCATTCTTTTTTTTTTTGAATTTTTTCATTGTTTAAAAAAAATTTAATTTATAAAAATTAATATTTCCTTTCCAAAATAATTGTATTGTTTCAAATTTCCCGTTGTTGGGTAACAAAAAGACAATAACGTCATTTTTTAGGTTCTTAACTTTTTTATTTTATTTTTAAATAAGTTACTTTCTCAACCTATAATTTTTTTTAATGTTTTACTCCTTTTTTTTTGAAATATTTAAAATTTTACATATTCTATACTAATTACAACTACAATTGTTATTCTCATTTTATAATTACTCATGTTAAAGATATTAAATTATAATATTTTGTATTTAATATACTAATATTAAATATATCTTAAGACTGTAAAAAAATTGAACATAAACAATTATGAATTAAAGAGAGTAATAATAATTTTTAAAATTATTAAAAATAGTTAATATTTTTTAATGAATTTATTTATTGCAAATAACTATTTTTTTAAAATTATTATGTTATTTTGACTTTTTCTTCTTATAAAAAAATTAACTTTTATTCATTTATTTCTTCATCATTTAACATTAATTGATTAAAAATATTTTATATTTCCTTTCCGTTATAAAAGTGTTTCAACGTCTCTTTTGAATGCGTGAATCAATTAATGTAAGGTTATTTTTATTTAACAAATAGTCTTGAATTTGAATATTAAGTATGTAATTACATTAATATTTAATTTTCTTTTGTTATTTGTACCGATCCTATCCAACTTCTAATAAAAGATATATGTGATATAGACAATAAAAAATGTTCTTTCATTAGGTTTTAACTTTATATCTTATAATTTTTTTTTGTCTATTTTCTTTCTTTTCCTTCATTTGTAGTATTTTCACACACAAATTTACACACATATTATTACTTATAATCGATAGACACATAAATCAATTAGTATATAATTATTTTAATTTGAGTAGTAATCTTGAGAATAAGTCATGAATATACAGTTCGGCTAAAATCTCAAAGATAGTAAAAAATATTTGTTATCTATATAAAAAAAAACTTATCATTTTTAAGATTTTTGATTCATTTTTTAAAATATTTTTCATAAAACATAAAATACTAGTCATTTATAAAATATACTTATTTATTGATATCAAAATATATAATTTATCGAATAATAACTTTTAATTATTATGTAAAATAGAACATTTAACTATAAACATCATATTAAAATCAACTATTTAAATTACTTATTCAATTACGTCAATCTTTTAAAAATCTCACATAAGCTTTAATTAAAAAGAAAAATAAAACACATAGAACTTATAATTAAATATACAATCTAAACCGTTCAACTATAATTAACTATTATCATTTCTCATAATAATAATAATTATAACTTTCAATTTTCATAATTACAAAGAAATATCTTTTAATAAGATATTTTAAGTAAGGAAAACATTTTATCATAATAATTAATATTTTTTTGAGAAAAATTATTAATTTTTTAATAACAAATATATTACCTTAAACGGTGAATAATGTAAATAGGAAAAAAGATTTTAGAAATGTTAAAAAAAATTAACTAAATTGGTTTTATTATTAATTAAAAACATCAAATAAAATTAATTATGACACATTATTTTTTTTAAGTTAAAAAATTTGACATGAGGATTCTTTTTATACCTAGAGATTGCCGGCCTCTACTTGACTCTTTTCTCTCTCTTCTCAGTGATGCCTCAAACTGTGTTATAGATTCCCTTCAGAACCAGCTTTTTCCCTTTGGTAAGGATAGATTCCCTCACTTGAGTTCACCATATTCACCCTTTACTTCTTCTGCTTTTCCCACCCTCTCATGGATTCTACATACATTTTCAAGTCAATTTCAAGTCTGTGCTGATCATGGACTTGATGAACCTGCTGAAAATTTGGATTCTTTGTGGAGACCTGCTAATCAAAATCAATAATTTTTCATAAAAAAGAATTCTTTTTTGTCTTTATTTCTGGCCCTTGGGGAGCAGAACTGTTGCTATTTATGTGTATGCACAAGTGGGTATCACAGAAAATGATGTTTTTCTTTGTCATTTCCGTGCATAATTATTTGCTGAAGCTTAGAACTCTTCACATGTGTGAATGTGTCTACTTCTTCTAACATTTTGACACAGAGGGTCCTTTCCTTGTTGGGAGGTTTGGATTTTGGGGGAAAGAAAAACATGAAACAGTTGGACTGAGTTTAGTTTATCTTCTTCCCCTGCTCTTGGTAACTGTGTTCCTGCATATTTATAGGCATATCATTTTCTCCTCAAATTTCCTCTTATCTTTTGGAGGGCAGAGAATAACATATATGAAATGAAACTGTTTTCTTTGTTTTTGAATGATATACATAATGCCATGATCTATATGTATCCGTTAATGATTAACCTGTCTATTGTGTGAACAAATATGAAATGATGCCTTGTAAGTGAAAGTTTGTGCGCATAATCACTGTTGCAGAAGCTCACAGCATCGACAAGTTTGTTAGCTGTTAGCCTGTTACAATCAATGGCACACAGAAAAAGGCGTTTAGATCAACTCAAGAATCCATTCAGTTCTCACCGTAAGCCTTTCCTCTTTGTTTTTGTCACTTGATCACTATGCATGACAAATAAAAGAAGAGCAATGAAAAGAATAAATACCAAACAGTTATTACATCATGCCTTGAAGCTTGTTCAAGGTAAAAAGAGATTTTAATTTACAGGACAAACTTGAAACTTGATTGACCAATTATTTTCTAACATTAATATTCATGGTTTTAAATTCATAATCTTTGTCCAGCAAAAGACATGTCCCTCAAGCTGCATCACCTGCATTTTCCCTCAATATTTACTATTCTCAACAACAATTTATTTGCCATTTCACAATCTTTAGAAAATATTCTCTTTAACCTATTGAGTTCTTTAAAATTTTTCTTTGTATACAGCCTTTGAAGCAGTTGCCTTTGGCTCATGGCAAGCTGTGGAGTTCATAAAAGTTGAGGGAGGAACACTGTCCATGCATTTTGTAGATAATTATCATATGGCTATGGAGAAAGGACCCGTGTCAGACATTCGGATAAGGTCAAGGAAGGCTACTTTATCAGATTGCTCCCGATTTTTACGTCCTGGAATTGACGTATGTGTACTATCAGCTCCTCAACAATCTGATGATTCAGATGCAATTAATGTGGACCCTGTAAGTGTTCTTTTTAAACTACATTTTATGATTTTGTCTTTTTAATCTGAGGTTCTAGAATTCCGTAAATCATGACATTTTTGACAGAGTCTGCAAGTCATCTTTTGTTAGAGTCAGCCTTACGATAACCTCACATGGTCGATGCAATGCTAATAATTCTAAGTCTTGAAGTTTCTTTATGAGATGGAGTGAGCATGATGCATGCATAAACTGATGTATTTATGTAATAGATACGCTCTAATTCCTTTATACACTGCCATTTAAATACAAACAGTATAAGATTGTTAACTGTTGTAATAATTACCTTAAAAAGTATGTGAATGAGAATTTCTGTGTAAAAACTTTATACTAATGTTGCATGCCTATAAAACTATTTTTTCAATATTTATTTGTTGAAATTACATGTTGGAGCCTCGGAGAGATTTTTTTGATTTCAAGATCTCCTTTATGAGATGATAATAAAATAGAGCACATTTACATGGTAATTGTTATATAGTTTCTACTTTAATTTGTATGCATATATTACTATTGTTTTAGTTTGATCAAGACCTCTGCTTTAATTTGAAAGTTCTAGTTGCTAGAATTTCAACTATGATTTACAATTTCTTTCCTTTTTAAACTACAGGTTTGGGCTGATGCTAAAATAAGTTCTGTACAAAGAAAACCTCATGACTCTGAGTGCTCTTGTCAGTTTTATGTGAACTTCTATGTTCATCAAGGTTCACTTGGTGCAGAGCTAAGAAGTCTAAGCAAGGAGATTAAAGTTGTTGGAATCAATCAAATATCCATCCTACAAAAACTTGAACACATTCCTTGTGAAGGTCAGCACCACAGGTGGGATTCATCTGAGGACTGCTCTATAATATCACATACTAAATTGCTTCTGGGAAAAGTGTTATGTGATCTTTCATGGTTAGTTGTTACTTCAGTTATAAGGAAGGTTTCATTCTGTGTGAGATCTCTTGAAGACAAGCTTGTGTATCAAATTTTGGGAAGAGATTCTGTTAGCACTTCATTGGACAATGCATCTCACATTGCTGTTGTGAGTTTCAAAACAGAGAATGGCCTGTTAGTGCCTATTGTTTCTGAATTAGCTACACCAAAAACCAAAAGGATTGATCTTGTTCAGGAATCCAATGAAGATAAAGTATCACCATCTTATAATGTTGAGGGATTAAGGCGTTCCAAGCGCCGGAATGTGCAGCCTGAGCGCTACCTTGGTTGCAACAATGTATCCGAGATTGATGTTGGTTCTTTTAGAAACAGACCACCAGTTAAGATAGACACTTGGAAGGATGATGATGATGATGATGAACTGCATATACCATTAGCATGCCTGTTTGGTTTGCAGCAAAACTGTCTAGAAGAGAATACTGATCATCATCAAAGGGTAAGGAAGGTGAGTGCTTGCCGGGAGCTTGTGGTGTACAGTAGAAAGAGGCCTAAAATCCGGAAGGTAAAGTCAGGAGATGATGCTCAAAGTGAACATCAAAATCATCTTGCAATTATTCCTCTTCCTGATCAAGATGATCCAGTAGCCATTGAGCATGGTGATCTAAACGAGAAGGTTACTAGAAGTTATGGTCATGAATCCTCTGAAATTTCTTCCAAATATTATCATCTAACTTGTAGTGGTACCCCTAAATCAAAGAGTAATGATATTAAATTGTTAACTCTTGAGCCTCATAATCATACAACAAAGCCAGAGGATGCAGAGAAGACTGATGATTTGTCATTGAGATATAATAATTATAGTTATGGCGCCCCTAAGTCACAGAGGAAGAATTTGTGTGGTCTGGATGATATGGTGGATCTTGGAAACAAATGGGAAGGGATCAATTCCAATAAAGGAGCTTATGGGAAAAAACCTCGTATAACATATTTAAGAAGTAAGAATCATGAAGAAGAAAGAAGATACCATTATAAAGACAGAACCTTAAATGCAGCTGCCTACAAGGATTTGATAAATTCTTACTTAAAGAATATTAATACAAAACCATCCAATGAAGAACCATCTATTGCTGACCAGTGGAAGCAAAGCAACACAACTAGCAACACTGACCAAAAGATTGAAGAAGAGATACTGGATGAAGAGGATGCGGAAGAAGTATCTGAAATGGATATGTTGTGGAGAGAACTGGAAGTGTCATTGGCATCAAGTTATCTAGAAGACACAGAGGTGTGTGATCATTTGACCTTTGCTTTTCCCTAATTGTTTATTTTGTTTTGTTTTTCCTAATGTTAATTCTGTTCAACTATTTAATCAGGATTTAAATACTGTTGTTCTCAATGAGACTACAGAAAAGCCGAATGAAGGTTGTCCACATGATTTCAGATTGAATGAAGAAATTGGAATTTACTGCTATAGATGCGGCCTTGTGAGCACTGAGATCAAATATATTACACCACCCTTTGTAAGTGAAGTTTAACTTAGATGTAGATTTGTATGCAATTTTCGCTGTATTCTGCTTTCTTTACCTTGCATATGGACGGATTCAATATATATTAATATGGAGGTCTAATGCATGAGGCTCCTATCATTATGTTGCTGTTACAAGGCTATTACCTCACCATCGCATCAACTCCCCATATTTATGTATAATGATGCATTAGGAAGATATTTTTTCTGTTTGCAAAATCTGTCATAGAATTAGTACAAAGAAGTGTGGTTTAAGAAGGAGCTTGCATGTTATTCCAAAATCTGTAAATTAGTTCCTGATGTTAACCTCATTCTCCTGTTTTGGTTGTATAATGTGTCTATTTCCCCTGTCTGTATCTGATAACCTTTTTGTTATTGGTAGATTCAACATTCAGTGTGTCACCAAGAGGAGAAACAAAGTGCTGAAGAAGATTCAAGGACTAAGGCTGATGAAGAGGATGACTATGATCTTTTCCCAAATCTTGTTTCTCCTGAGGAACCTATGTCTGAAGAAAATGACAACGTTTGGTCATTAATTCCTGAACTTAGAGAAAAGTTGCATGCCCACCAAAAGAAAGCTTTTGAGTTTCTTTGGCAAAACATTGCAGGGTCCATGGATCCAGGACTTATGGAAGCATCATCCAAAAGAAGAGGTGGCTGTGTGATATCTCATTCTCCTGGAGCTGGAAAAACTTTTCTCATCATTGCTTTTCTTGTTAGCTACTTGAAGTTATTCCCAGGGAAGAGGCCTCTAGTCCTTGCTCCAAAAACAACACTCTATACTTGGTACAAAGAATTTATCAAGTGGAATATTCCTATACCAGTGTATCTGATTCATGGTCGTAGAACCTACAGGGTATTCAAGCAGAAATCAATGGCTGTTATTCCTGGAGTTCCCAAGCCCACTGATGATGTCAAACATGTTTTGGATTGTCTCGAGAAGATACAAAAATGGCATTCACATCCGAGTGTTCTCATCATGGGTTATACTTCATTTTTAACATTGATGCGAGAGGATTCAAAGTTTGCTCACAGAAAATACATGGCTAAGGTATTGAGGGAAAGCCCTGGGATCATGGTGTTGGATGAAGGGCACAATCCAAGAAGCACTAAATCTAGGTTGAGAAAAGTTCTGATGAAAGTACAAACTGATTTGAGAATACTTCTTTCTGGTACATTGTTTCAGAACAATTTTTGTGAATACTTCAACACTTTGTGCTTGGCAAGACCAAAGTTTATTAATGAAGTACTGAAAGCACTAGACCTTAAATACAGGAGGAAAGGGAAAGTAGCAAAGAAAGCACGTCATTTATTGGAGTCACGAGCTAGAAAATTCTTCTTAGACAAAATTGCCAAGAAAATTGACTCAAATAATGGTAGGGAGAGGCAACAGGGTCTAAAAATGTTGAGGAATGTGACAAATGGTTTCATAGATGTTTATGAAGGTGGTAGTTCTGATGGTCTACCTGGCTTGCAAATTTATACATTGCTCATGAATTCAACTGATACACAGCATGAGATTTTGCAGAAGCTGCACAAAAAAATGGCCAAGTGCAATGGATACCCTTTAGAGTTAGAACTGTTGATAACTCTTGGTTCAATACATCCTTGGTTGGTCAAAACAGCTGTATGTGCTGAGAAGTTTTTCTCTCAGGAGCAATTGATGGAGCTAGAGAAATGCAAATTTGATCTAAAAATGGGGTCCAAAGTAAGATTTGTTTTGAGCCTTATCTACCGTGTTGTCAAGAAGGAGAAGGTTCTCATATTCTGCCACAATATTGCACCTGTGAGGTTATTTATGGAATATTTTGAGAAGTACTTTGGATGGCAAAAGGGTAGGGAAGTGTTGGTGCTAACCGGGGAACTAGAACTCTTTGAAAGAGGGAGAGTAATGGATAAGTTTGAGGAGCCTGGTGGGGTGTCAAAGATACTCCTTGCTTCAATCACAGCTTGTGCTGAAGGCATTAGTTTAACTGCTGCTTCTCGTGTGATCATGTTGGACTCAGAATGGAACCCTTCAAAAACAAAGCAAGCTATTGCACGAGCCTTTCGTCCTGGTCAGCAGAAAGTGGTTTATGTGTATCAGCTCTTGGTGACAGGTTCATTGGAGGAGGATAAGTACCGAAGAACCACTTGGAAAGAGTGGGTGTCAAGCATGATCTTTAGTGAGGCATTTGTGGAGGACCCTTCCCAGTGGCAAGCTGAGAAGATTGAAGATGATATACTGAGGGAGATGGTTGCTGAGGACAAGTCTAAATCATTTCATATGATCATGAAGAATGAAAAAGCTTCTTCTACCAACAAATAAAGGGTATGATACTGAATACACTTTTTCCTATAAAAATGAAACATCATCATCTATCCTATATTTCCCGAGAGTGCAATACGAGCATTAAATTTCTTTCATATTGTTGGAAATATTTTGTGAAAAATATAGAAAAATTGGAGACAACTTGAAATTAAAATTGAAGATGAAAAATTATCATTAAAATTCATAAAAGAAGATGCTTATGTATAGACTTACTATCAATTTAAAATTCCTAATAAATCTCATCTACTAACAAGTCTACTTGGTGAGATTATATTGAATAACTGAAAATAAAATATAAAATATAAAATTGTATCAATGACAAATAACCTATCTAAAATTTATTCAAAATTCAAAAATTAAGTAAAGAAAAATCTCATAAATCTAGCACATATGTTGTCTGCAAGTTCAAGATTGCTTATTTGGGCATATATGTTAACATTCAAATTTAGGATGAAACATGCTTCATGTTGGACCAGCTTTTTTAATTTTACACAAGGTTCTTCGGCTTCAGCATATGGAACGTTGTTAAAATGTTCATCCTCAACAACCGGAGACAGCTAATCATAATCCACACCTATATGATTAATTATAATCTGATATATCAGTGTTTAACTAAGCTTTTAAATATGCACTGCTCATTATTCTGAAGCCACTTAAAATATTCACTTTAAATGGTAGTCTCACAATTTGTCCTTAGACTAATAATTGTCTAAATTAGAGTCTTTTTCTGGGAGACTTCCCTGCTGCCACCGAATATATGCAAGCATATTGTGAACTGTGAAACCACATTTATTTTTTTTCATAGATATAGTTCACACGGTATCCAAAAATTGATAATCAATAATTAATTTACACTCGTGGGATTGGGATATAACTTTTGTTGATCAAACATTATTTTAACATTACATTGATTTTTAGAGTATCACCGCACTTGTCCAAGGACAAACTTTATAATCACTGGGCCAAGAAACTTAGTTAAACCACATAGTTGATGCTATACATACACACTTCTGCATACAGATTCTAACTATTCCCATCAGATTCGCTGCACATCTCTCTTCTGATTTTGCCACCTCACTGATGTGAGACAAACAAACTACATGCAACATGCATTCTCTGAAACCATATGATTGTTAGGAGGAGGATGCATCTGTGTCTCGTAGTATAGATTGTTTCACACTTGCTCCATATTTTGATGCTGTTGTTCTCTTATATATTGATCATACCATTAAAAAAATCTAATGCAATTTCCTTCAGTCTCACAAATAACAAAGGCATCACCAAATCTCGGAACAAAAGTGATTTTCCAAAAAGGTGAGAAGTCTTTTCCCATGTCACTTTTACAACTTATTGCTTTTGTATAAAAATCGTAAGTGACCTTAATAAAAAAAATGGGGATTATCTAGCAAATGTCTTGCTTATATCAATGATAGCTTAAATGTGTATCAAATTGTAGATCTGCTAAGAGGACTTTCTTTCTTTTTATATAGGTAAATATATTTGAAAACTTAAAAAGAAGGAATTTAGATGAAGACACTAAAGAACAAAAGAATTTACCGAAAAAAAAGAACAAAAGAAATATGAAGTTAATAAGACAATAACCTGACTGCTAGTTGGATCTGATTTCACTAGAATAATTTCGGATTGTTATCATTCTAATAGCACCCTTTGCTCATATCAAACATCTCGCTAAAATTGCTGCTTAACATAAACATGTTAAAGTGAATTGCATTATTGGTTCCTTGAAACACTATTGCCATGTAATATTAATGCAAATATATGCTTCTTGGATTTATTTTATTTTTTAATGAGAAAGTGTGTAAAATGAGAAGGTAAAAATGTATAATTGGAAATGAGTTCAAGAGGTATTTTAATTCAAATAACTAGTGAATGTACCCTATTTTTCTCATTTTTCACGCATACCTTTTTTTAAAAAAACAAAAATAACTTCAGAAGAATCAAATTGTTATGCTTATTGGTTGAAACTTTTTTTTCACACTTTCCTGACTCTGCACAGGGATAAATTATTAGGTGAAGCTTAACGTGGGAAGCAGCAAGAGCATCAATAAAGGCCCAAACCCACATCTTAACAAGTTTCTTTATGAAATGCCCAATAAGCTTTTTTCTTTTTCAAAAATTATTTATTTGGGCAAATTATCAATTTGGTATATTGGAGGTTTGTGTTAGGTTAGGGGATAGGTAGTGGTGGAGGATCGAAATTCCAACATCATGATTAAGTCAGTCCAAAAAGATGGGACTGATGCCAATTGAGTTACATAGGTGTTGCCAAATGTTCAAAAATTAGTATAAAAAAATTTGTTCAAAAAATTTAATCTCTTCCAGCTTTGATGAAGGTGAGATTTAATTCCATCATTGCTTAATTTAACTAGCATAGCTGCAGACTGCTACTTCATCGCTAATCAATTCAGCTTAGTCATATACATGTTTGAAAGTCTTCAACCGTTCACATTTTTTTCACGGTTTAACTACCTTCACCTGTTTATAATGGTCAATTTCTATCCTCTCATGACTCCTTTTTGGATAAACTTATCCATGTATGTGTATAAGAAAAGAAAAGAATAAAGTAAACTAAATTAATTTTTTGCATAAGATAAATTTATACACTTCAACTTTTAGAAAAGTGGGATAAGATTTTTTTAAAAAAAAATAATTTCATAAATTAATTTTAACTAATAAAAAAATTTAATTTATTTTACCTTATTACTTTTGCATCCCTTCTATTTCTACCTATTGTCATGGTTTAACTTCATTTATTTGTTCATAATGGTTAATTTTTAATCCGTTATTCTTAAAATGTGGTTTTTGGTGTAACATATGTGATTCTATAAAATTAGTTTATAAGATAATGATTATTTTTTATTTATATATTATTAATATTTTAGTATTTTAGTTTCTGGATAGCACATGTTAAATATTTATTATATAGTTAAAATTTATAATAAATTATTAAGTATATCATGTTATAGAATGGAGAGACTCAATCAAAACACAAAAATGCACAAGCAAGGAACCTAGGTGCACCAAAACAAATTGATTCAAGAATTAGGAACAAGCAAAAATATGAATCAATTATTTTTCATGTGACAAATAGGATACATCAAGATATGAACAAAATTAGATCCATACAGAAAACACACATTAAGACATAGAAAAGGAAGATTAGACAACACGGATTCAAGTAAAAAAAGTTAGAAACAAAACCTCAAGAGCACTAGGCTCTAGATACCAAAAATGATGGAAGCACTTGGTGAAGATTGTTGTTCATCCAAGCTTCCATGCAAGGACCGAAAATGCTCCATGAGGTTATCACGTTTTGACCTTGGAATTCTCCTTTGAAGAAGCTTCAATGGAGTAGAAGCACTTTTGAGGAGGTTCGGTTACCTCTTAGAGAGGTGAAGAAGCTTGAGAAACCAAGCTTCTAGGAGAAGGAACTTGAGAGAGAACTAGGAGAAAGTTCTCACGGTTTTGACTCATGAAAAATGAGAGAGAAATCTGATTTCTAATTCTCATAAATGTCCAAAAGTGAGTACAAGTGAAGGAATTACAAATATATAGGGAGAGGTAGCTTCTAGGAGAAGCTAACCTTAACCATGGTTCACTAGGAACCATGGTAAGGTGTAGCTAACCATCCATGGTTTCTAAAACTTGTAGGAGAAGCTATCCTTGACCATCGTTCACTTAAGAACCATGGTAAGGTCAGCCAACCCTACCAAGGTTTAGAAACTTGGAGGAGAAGCTTCAAAACCCAAGAGTGTAGCATGGAAATTTCGACCAAGGAGGAGTAAAGGAGCTAGGCGGCCATGGTTTTATTTTCTCCTTTGAATTGTTTCAAAAATTATTGATTTGGTTTAGTTAGGTTCATCATATGATGATGAGACCTAGCTAAATCAAATCTATGAAAAATTAGGAGAAAAATGAGTCCAATATGCAAAATTTTGCCTAGACCCAACTCAGACCCAATTTCTAAACACACCCTCAAGCATTGCTAAATGCCACCCCTTTTTCCCTACTGAAAAAATACAAAATGAATGTATCAACTAGGGAGGTTAAATGGAGTTAAACTCTCCAAGTA